AAAAGTTCGTCAATCCAAAGCCAAATATGCGTAACTTTGGGTGATTGGGGTAAAGTCCTCACCAAAAAGAGCGCGAGATATGCAGTTATTTTCCATGTACTCGTAGATTAACAACAACTGGTTCCCTTCAACACAACACCCATAAAGCTTTACTAAATTCGGGTGTTGCAGTGCGGATACCATTCCTATTTCGTTCACAAATTCCCGTGTTCCCTGTTTCGACTTTGAAGAAAGTTGCTTCACCGCTATTATGGTCCCATCAAGTAATAGACCCTGTAATGAGTGTGGAATTTCATCATAATAAGAAAAAAAAAAAAAGATGATGAATCTCATAAGTGCAATTCAAAAGATGGCAGTACCTTGTACACCGAACCGAAACCACCCTCACCAATCTTGTTAGCAGGATCGAAGTTCTTAGTTGCAGCCTTAATCTGTCTTAAAGTGAACATGCCTGTTTGTAGATCAAGACCTCTAAGCTCTGTCCATGCACCAATAATAAATCTCATCACAACACCAAAAATATAATGTTTCTTCAGATTCTTTACATCACTTCTGTTTATGTGATAATCAATTTTTAAGCTTTGTAGTTAAGTAAAAAAGTTAATATTAAACCATTCAGATGAATGTCGAAGCAACCTTCAGTGAGCAAATCTAAAAACGATCATACGAAAAAAGTTGGAACGAAGCTTTTGACCTTTATCAGTCGATGTTTTGCCTCCAAGATACCCTCGCTTACGCAAGAAAGCTAGAACCAGAGTTAGAAAACAAAAGCCTCCGGCTACTATACCACCCACCATAGCAATACTGACTTTTTTGTGATAAACAGGTGGATTAAAATCTACAGCAAAAAGAAAATGGTTAGATCTTGCAAGTCAGACATAACAAAAAATGAAGAGTAAATTACAATTTTAGTCCTATATGTTTCACTACCTTAACTTTTTCGTTCTCTTCGAATTGCATTTTTTATTTACGTCCCGTATGTTTGCAAGAAAGTTACAAAAAGGTCATTTTCATACATAAGGGACGAAATTGGAACCTTCTTTTGCAAAACTTAAAAGACCTTTTTGTTGCGAAAATGACCTTTTTGTAAATTTTTTGCAAACATACGGGACGAAAATAAAAAACGCAATTCGAAGAGGACGAAAAAGTTAAGGTAGCGAAACATATATGACTAAAATTGCATTTTACTCATTTTAAATGAAGTTCAACAGTTTTAGCAACATACTAGGAACTACCGATATGGCCGAAATCAACGGCCCATAAGTTCCTCTCTCTGGAATGCCAGTAGTCCCTTTCCCAGCCCAATAGAGATGGATCTTCAAGGTATGTCCAGTAACCGCCACAGTGAAATTCTTCACGATGGGCCTACCGGGCCCACCAGCCTCAGCAGCAATATTAAAATCCTTCAAAACCAATCTTCCTTGCAAGTATACGTCGAAAATGCGCCTTCCGAGGCTGCTGAAAGTGCTATCATTAGTAAACACAATCTCGGCAAAGTGGAGTCTCACTGTGTAGTTCCCGTTCAGTAGGCAAAGGCCGTAGTAAGTGAGGGAAAGAGGGGAGGCTCGTGCGGTTGTGTAGAGTTTGGAAAATGGTGACGTGGCATTGTGGAGAGATGAAGTGTTGGTGGTTCTGTAGTTATCTGAGTCGATATCGTTATCCATGAAGTTGCCTGTGCTGCTGAAAGCCCAGTTTTGGCTCGCGTAATACATTGAGGCGCCTCGGGATTCTGTATCGGCTTCGTATTTCGAGTCGTTAGTGATGTTTACTTCTTCACCGCCGCAGTTAATGTGCAGTGAGTAATGCTCTGTGAGTTGGCAAGTTATTTAGCTAAATTATGAGGATTTTTAACTTAAAACTTGTTATTATACATCGAATATGCTTAAAAAATGTGTAAATATCCTTACGCTGAGTTCTTGGATTTGGACATGGAAAGTCTTGCTTCATGCATGAGTGTACTCTTCCTCTATGGAAATGAAAAACTCTAATGTTAATGGTGTGGTTTTAGACAGACTGACAAGTGAAATATAAACTTGTATTTTTATAATTGCCGCTTAAGGTCTCATAACAAAAGGGATAAGGAGATATGTCTTGGATCTTACAATTGATTAGCTGCTGATGAGAAGCTCTCCACCAAGTTTCTGAAGCAAATAAGTTCATAATATTGATGTAAGACAAAGTTTCTTAGTGGATTACTAGTACGTGGCCCGTGCGATGCACGGGAAAATAATATTTTGATTGTATTATAAATTAAATAAATAAATAACAATAATCATGATTTACGTATTATTTATAAATTAAACCGGGTTGGACACAGTCCGACCGGATGGACCGAGAACCGGTTTATAACCGATTTAGTGCACTTGAATAAAATATTTGCTATCGAATCCGCCAACACCAGTATGTTGGACTGGTAAGATCGATACGATTTTCTAAACAAATTTTGTTACATGAAAAAATATTTTAAATAAAATTACATATTTAAATAAAATAGAGATTTATAAATTGTTTATCAATTAGTTTAAACATTTGAATTTATAAATTGTTTAGATATTTAAGTAACACTTTTTATTTAAATTTATTACAAAAAGTATTATGTATTAAAATCCGAACAACCACAAGACGGCCCAATTCTGAAAACCTTATATTTATCGTACATTAATAAAAATGATAATCAAATAAATATTTTGTTCACATAAATAATGATAAAATGATATATAAATATTCATAAATCATTAATCATGTTGTCATAAAAGTATTGTTAATATGATTATTTGAAGTTTGGACTACATCACATTCACGTAATAAAGTATTTTTAATATTAAAATTTATATTTAGGTTCAATAATCAATTTGGTCTGGTCAAACTGATACATAACTTAGTTACCTCGGACCAACCAAGTTGTGTCAAGTTTTTTGACTATTTTAAATATCACCTAAAAGTAATTCAATTAAAGTGGGCAGTACCTTAATTCAATCACCCGATTGATCCAAAGTAATTTCCTTATTTTTCTTTAAATATAATATTTAATTTTATGAAATAAAAATATTTTATGATTCATATGTCTACACCGAATGATAGTATATTAAGATTATGAATTATATATCTAAAGATAAACTATTTATTTTCATTTTATGCATATTAATAAAAAATAAAGATAGTAATTTAAAAAAAATTAAGATTAATTGATTGGGTATGCAATTTAAAAAATATTTTTAGCGTTCAATATATATATATATATATATATATATATATATATATATATNATTTTAAATGATTTATAATTTTTGAAACATGATACGTGCATTTAAAACCCATTAATCTAGGAACTATTCAATTTTCTGATAATGAATTAAAATTAAAATGTAAAAGTTGCTAAAAATAGTATATAATAAATGTGGTTGACTTTTCCTGACTACTATTTATGGTAAATGTTAATTCTTATTATATATATATAGATTTACTTGTAGCTGAATACGATAGTCGATACTTACATACTCCCTCGTGGGCATTCGATTGGTGATGGGCTTTCAGATGTGAAATTGTTGTAAGAGATATCTCTGTTCAAGAAATTAAGGGAATGAATATGTAAAAACTATGCATTGCACAAATGGTACAAGCAAATATAATGGAAATGCATTTCAGCTTAAATTGCAACATAATACAAGCACGTTATTCGTTAGATGCTTACGCATTCTTGTTCCTTTCAAGAATCCAACTTGGAATTTGTCCTGTAAGTCTATTTCTTGTCAAATACCTATGAAACATCAAATGGTAGTTGCTCGTGAAGAAAAATAAGGGTAGGCAAAACCAAAGAACTGAACAAGAATAATTGTACTTACAGGAAATCAACTCTTGTAAGATGAGCAAAAGAATCAGGAATCTCTCCAGTCAAGTTATTAAAACTAAGGTCCCTACATTCCAAAGTTTAACATAACATCTTCTGTCAACTGTATTATTATGGAGAATATTATGTTCGGTATTAAGTGAAACCACAACAACAACAACAACAACAAAAATAAAAATTGCGAACCAAATTCTTCACAAAAGATACATCGTACTCAAGTTTAAAAGTTATGGAGAATAAAGCTGCCTCAAGTAAAATTTATGTCAATTTAAAGGAACCAAGCCGAAAAGTCTGATATACTCACAGATTTTTCAATTTTTGCATGTCACCAATATATTCAGGTATTCCTCCTTGTAGCCGGCAATTCCTTAATATTCTATACAGAAGGGTTGAAGTTAGTGATATCGGGTAGTCTGTATCCAAATTACCACAAGGTTTCGGAGAAAAAAGTTAAAACTCACATGACTTTAATGGACTTCATATCACTTAGTACTGGAAAAGGCGATCCTCCACCTGTTAAATCACTTATCCTCCTGAAAGTCGATAAATGAGGGTGAATATCATTGTGCCATACGTGAGGAAGAAATCAAAGAGAAACTATTATAAGACACTCACAAGTCAAGTAAGCTTGTGAGGGAAGATATAGAAGATGGGATTGGGCCTCTAAGAGAGCAACCTTGAATGTGCCTTTGACAATGTCAAAAGTTAAACCATTTCAGTATCGCTAATCGTGCTTGTTTGAGCATTTCTTTGGATGCTTCCTCAATCACTTACCTAAACACATCCGTAATTGTTCAGTTAAGATAAGGCTACTTACAGTTTTTCAATTTGTCTCCAGCTGCCGATAAAATCTGGAATCCTTCCTCTGAAGTTATTGTCACTTATCCTCCTATAATTTAAAGATGTGAACATATACAAGAGTTTCATGGGACAATATTTTCTAATAAAAACCGAACATTGGAAAGACAATTATCACACAGGATTCGAAAGAACTCACATGTCAATTAATGAGGTAAGCCTGGCAAGCCCCACTGGTAAATCTCCAGTAAACGTATTTGACGATAGAACACTAAAAATGTTGGATTAGATGTAAACATCCAGTAGTTATTAACTTAATATGATTGTATTAATCGAAGCTGGAAGAAAATTTGAAGAAATGGAATCCAAAACAAGCGCCAAAACATTACAGTTTCCGCAAATTGACTAAGCGGCCAATTTCCGATGGAATGGGGCCAGAAAACCTGTTCCCCTCGAGGCTCCTGCATGTGGATATTCCAAATTGTAGAAATGGATCTATGAGAAAGAACAATNAAAAAAAAGAAACAGTAAACGAGCAACACAATATCTATTCTTAAAAGAGGTTGCAGCTTACAAGTTCACAAGGGTGGTTAATCTGGTAATAACCATTGGAAATGGACCAGATAAATTGTTTCCCATAAAAGACCTGTGTATGGTAAGACAAAGAAAAAGCACGAGATGGCTTAAAGAGTTGAAGTACTGAGCAGTAAATGAATAAAGCAATGACTAGTTTAGGGGAAAATGAAATTACAGCTCAACCAAGACCATTTTAGCCCACTGAGGAGGTATAGTACCATTAAGGAAGTTGCGACTAAGGTCCCTGCACAACACAACACGTGAATGAAAATAAAATGTTCGCTTTATTACGTGAGGCGATTGTAGGAGTTATTCTTGTTCAAGCAGAGAATATACTAAAAAATGACTAACAAGTTTTTAAGTTGGCGAAACTTTGCGAATTCTTGTGGAACGCTTCCTGTTAAATTCTGTCCTTTGAAAGCTCTGCATCGGTTTTTAATAAGAAATCGATAGTTAGAGATAATTCAGACAATAGTACCATCTTTGTTACATCGGCCAAATAAGCAGCACAAAAGTGTCTCTTTAAGATGAAACACAAAACTATGAGACGACTCAGCCGATAGGCTAGTTGATCTGTTATGGTTTTTAAATAAAAAATCGACGTGAATGTTAGGTGATTATTTAGTGCAGGCTGATAATTCCACATCAAAATACTGCATCACACTACAATTCCTAGCATTCGTAACACCATGTGTTCATGTGTTGATCAATATAACCATGATGCACGTGATATCATCTGAATAAAGGATATATTATTGTCAATCTTAAGCCATCAATTTCAGACCATAATAATTTGAAGTTTGAACACAAATTTTTTTAATAGTTGACATAAAAAAAGCAACTCCCAGTTAAGAACATCCATAATATCATAGTACCTGGAAGCTCTTAAAAAAATTGCTAGGCCGATTTTTAATGCTATGGCCCATGTGGGGGAAAAAGACAAAGAGAAGGGTATAGGACAAGACTAGACGCGTTTTCCATGTGTGGTATTATCTTAAGCAGCTCAAATATAATACTCTGGCAGACACGTGGACCCTCAGTCAGCAACTACACAGCTGGATGAGTAAATCAAGAGTGAGACAAGTCAACCCACCATTCATCAAGCGTTTGACTAACTATTCAGTCAACGGAGTACGGACTATCTCCTATAGCTATTTTCCACAACACCATCCACACGCAGACCAATTAACTTAATTTCTTTTCTTGTTTCTCAACTGGCTATTTATAGAAAAAACGGAGAATTCGTGATCGATTTTTACGATTTGACCAACACGTAATTGCAAAAATAAAATACTATAAAATTGTGACTTTTAATAGTTTGATCAACACATAGAATCAAAAGGATACGTACATACTAACGATGTGGCAAGTCGAACCGTTGTTGAAAGTACAGTCGCAGGCGACTGAAGTCTCCATCCCTTTCCTGGCGACGGGCGCCCTCGAAATCTCTTCTTCGCTGCACGGGTCGCGCGTGCGGGCCCACGCATCGTGGCCCAGCCTGCGACCAATCTCCTTCAATGCCTTCACTGCAAACCAAAATATATGTACAAAATAATTAAAAAAAAAATATTAATACTAATTGATCATTTAAATTTTAAATTGCTAAATACAGTAACAAGTGGATTTACCTTCATCTTGGTGGAGCTGAGGCTTGGGCTGTAGAGCTGCTGCTTGGGCAGATGGTAGGAGGAAAATGGTGATGATGATTAAGCTTAGATAAACTAAGGAATTTCTCAATTCCTGCATTGTATATGATATGGTGCAATTGCAAAGAGACTTTCAGCTCATAGAATAGAGCTCTCTACTGTAGAAAAGAGAGGAATGCGCGTGTTGAGGATAGGAGTTGCTAGAAGATATTTTTTTATGCTGCATAATAATTAATTATAATAATAATAACTCTTTTAAAAAGTGAGAGTTGTTTCTTGAAAAAATTTAAATTGTCAAAATTGTCCTTCAAGGAAACATATTTATTTATTGATGTGGGGAAAATACATATTAATAGTTTTTAAAAATTCATTTTTCAATCCACATTAGTCCATTCTTCTCATCTTTATTTATTAATTTTTTTTATCTTGTTCAATTCTTATTATAGGTCTATGAATCAATATTATATAAAATATAAGATTATCTAAGCAAATATAAAATTCTAAAATAAAAACCACCGGTATAAAGAATTTCATTTTTTTTTTCATTTTTTCTCTTTGTGATTTAATTCGAGTTTCAATTTCTCGTATCATAAAAATACTTAAGTCACTATTTACATTCATAAACAAATTACAACTATTATCTAAAATTAAAGAGTAATAGGGCTAAGGTTAATTCCTATATAACTGTGAACAAGAATATTGTCGAATTTACTGATAAAGAGTATTCTCATTTATATATTTTTTTTTTTTTGTACAATAAACCTTCCGGTTTCCGAATCTCCGAGGGAACCGACTAATCCGGAATCGAACCGGGTAGGACCACAAGGGCGGCAAAGCTCTACCTCAAGAGTTTTAACACAGCTGCATTCCCAGGGCTCGAACTCGAGACCTCTGGTTAAGCTGGGAGAGACCCCAAGAGTATTCTCATTTATATTTGATTTAACTGACTTTTCTCCTTTTCCATTCTTCTGAGTTTGCATTGGGGCCCTGCACAACCCTCATTATTGGTGAAAATCATTCAATATGCTGCTGTTGGATTTTAAAAGGGTGCAGTTTTGTTACTCAAACTAATGTATTCCCAGTACCATGAGAATTACTAATGTTATTGTTCTTTCATATTAGTGCTTGGGGAAATTTCCCATTGTCCTCACTATTTCCAAATTATCATTTTCATGTGAATCGACACACATCTTTGCTCAAACCATTTGGGGAAATTTCCCATTGCCCTGACTATTTGCTAATTATCATTTTCAAGTGAATCTACATACATCTTTGCTCAAACCATTTAATTTTAATTGTGCTTAGAGTCCACATAATTTATCTGCGTAACTGTGTAGGCCATATAAGCACTTGATGTACTCGGGATTTCCAGTAATTCGTTCTCTTGTTCTCCAAATCAATTTTTGATTATGCCAAGTCCCAAATTAGGTAGATTACCGAGGTTATGAAGTGACTGTTGAAAATTTTTTGCGAATATTAACCGGCTGTCATGAATTAACAGTCGCAAGGTCAAAACGACCTTTGAGTGATGAAGGCAGTCATATACTTCTTTACATGAGTGGGCATGAAGGGAATGAGTTTCTCATATTTCAGGACTCTGAGGAACTTCAGAGCCAAGATTTAGCAGATGCGGTGAAACAAATGAAGGAAAAGCAAAGGTGTAATGCACCGAATATTTTTACTATTCATGGAGGTCGACTTTATTTCCATAAATAGTCAGTTTCCTTATTTGATGCATTTAATTATTTTTATTTACATTAAATTGAGTAATTAGTATTAAGTCTAAGTCATGAAAAATTTATTCGATTTTTATAATGAGTTCGGATCTATTTTGCCCAAATATCGATTTATTTTTATAATAAAACCGAGTCTTGGAATAATCGGAATATATTATGTCGGGTCAAAGTCCGGACAAGTCCAGCCTCGACCCAAATCGCTTTCCAGCGAGTCGAATTTATTTCGGTCCACTTTAATTAATCAAGCCCATGTTCGATTTTATTTCGACCCATTTATTAAATCAAACCCATGTTCAATTTGATTTTAATTCATTTAAAAAATCAAACTTATGTCGATTTTTAAATTCGAGCCAATTATTTCATTACATTTGACCGACCAATAAAATTAGTCAAAGTTCCGGTCAAACCAAACATGTAAAATCCTAAGTCAATGTTCGGATAGTTGAGGCCCGATTTGTAGGCCAAATTTTGAGCCCAATAAGGCACTCAAACCCTAATTTCACACTACTATATATATAACATTATCTTCACCCTCATTTCCATTTCAACGCCACAAAACCTTAGCCACCTCCATTAAAACCGGTCATCTCCTCCGGCGAGCCGCCGTCCTCCGGCGACCTTCACTCCGGCAGCTCGTCCACGCGCCCAGCTTCTTCATTTTCCGGCGAAGCCATCACGCAACCACCCTCCGTCCCGCCGGCAGCTACTCCACTCGCAGTCCCGCCGTCATCTCCGACGGCCATCCTTCGACCAGCTGCAGCCCGTCCGTTTTCCGGCAGCTCCCTTCAACGCGTCTCCTTCCCAGCTCCGGCGAGCTTCCATTTCCGGCAAGTATCACGGTTCCCGTCGACTTCGCAGCTCCGGCGTCAAGCTCTCCGCCATTCCCAACTCCGGCGACGTCACGACCACGCCGGCAGCATCCCGTTCGCAACTCCTCCGTCCGTACAACTCCACCCACCGGCTACTCCACGCCGGCGACGACGTCACAACCCTCAGCCGCCGTAACCAGCTCCGGCGACCACCTCTCCCCGCCGGCAGTGACGTCCCGGTAGCGAGCAGATCCGTATATTCTCCTTCCGGTCGTCCACAACACGAGCTCGCCTCCTCCGATCCGTACGAGCCATGATCCGTGACGTCACGCATCAGCCTAGCCGCACCCGGTTCAGATCCGCGACCCCACGAGCAGACCCGACTCGTCCCGCTCCAGATCCGCACCAGCAGCAGACCCACAGGATCCCAAAAGCCCATCCACCTTTCCTAACCTTAGCTATCTTCCGATTTTCGTTTCGAACAGGTATAATGGCTGAACTCCTTCTCCATGGCATTAGACATCAATTTTAGTTAATTGTAAAAATGAGTTTGGGAATTTTTGAGTTTATTATGATTTTATTGAGTAAATAGGCTTTAAATTCATAAAATATTGATCACTGATCCGAAAAATATGATTCCAACGGGATTAATTCTATTTTGATGACTTGAGGCTTAGGTTAAATTTTCGTGAATTTTCGAGCTCATTTGATATGCGAACAGAAATCGTGAATTTGGACCGATAATGCTTGATTTAGTTAACTGATTTAGGAGCTGAATATTGCTGTGATAAACTTCTCAGAAATACATAAATGCTAAGGAGTATGGGGTTAAAATTTCATAATTTTTGGATGTTGTTTGGTATGGTTTAAAAATCGGGAATTTAGCCGTAATTCGCAATAATTTTAAAATTAGTCCGGTTGCGATTTAGCTGGAGTTGTTGGATATAAATCCTTATAAATTACATAGAACTTAGGATTTAATTATCGGCTTTAAATGAGTTAGGATTTTTGGAGATCGATAACCCTTGGTTTATCCGGTTTCGATACCCGGGTAAATTTTGGATCCGAGTTTAATCGCCTGAACCCTAGTTCCGTTTAAACAACTTTAGACGTCATAAGGTTTAAAATGAGCCATTGGGTGTCGGGACATGGTCGGTCGGCCAGTTAGTCGCCGATGAGATCATAACCAAGCCTAGGAAGGCTATCGAGGCCGTGTGCCTCGAAGCGATCGAAATTATCCAATTGACGTGTATTAACACGTATCCTTAACGCGTTTCGACGTTCCGCACACATGTTCGACCCTCGTCTGACCGTTGGAGCCGAATCGCCGAATGTGTGCCCGTGCACCGAGTCTGAGTCGAACCATTAAGTGCGTGCTCGTGCACCGAGTCCGAGTCGAACCACCGAGTGCGTGCCCGTGCACTGAGTTCCAGTCAAACCACCGAGTGCGTGCCCGTGCATCGAGACCGTCCGATCTACCGTCAGCGCGCCGTTTCTGTTAGCCGTGGTCTAAGCACGCCCCAGCGTCAGTGACCGTGGCACGGATGCACGGCGAAGACGTGTTAGCCGTGTTCATGGAGACGTGGCACCGTTTCAAATCGTTACCTCAGTATACACTTCCTTGAGAATTGTGATCGCCACGCCCTTAGGTGTAGTGGAGGAAACGGCCACGCGCAATCTTTGATCTCTTGTAGGTAAAAGGGCGAAATAATGAGTCTGTCTTTAATTTTTACAATCATATTCTCGTCAACTCTTGAGGCGGATGGGTCAAAATATATCTCTTCGAGGCACTCATTCCTCGGAATATGTAGGTTGTAAGATATTATACAAAAATAGATAATTAATTAAAAGAAAAAGATAGCACTTATTGGGCATTCCAATCTCAATCTGCTTGGTTAATTTGATTGTTATGTTGAAATAGTCCTCTTAGACATACCCTTAAGAACATGTTTATCATACTCGTATATCCAAAACTCAGCTCTTTTATCCAACTTAGTCGTCCGATCAACTGTTGAGTCACAAAACGTACACAAATCCTGTTATATGCGATAAATGTCATCCACGCCCACATTCGCATTCGCTTTTAGATCCGCTATAATGGTTGCACGATTAAGTATGGCCCTCGTCGCCAGAAAATTTTTGAACGCCTTCCTCTTAAGCTGTGGCATCGAGTTAACCAAAACTCGTGGTAGCTAAAGTTTGTTTCCAACAAATTCCATGATTCATGTTTGCTTTTTTTTTTCGCAATTGAGTAATACATATGATAGGATAGTTGGTTTTGAAGCACCATTTATGCTACAGCCGGTGCCATGACAACGTGACACCATGGCAGATGGAGTCACGGCAGTGGGCCTACAACCGCAGATGAAGTCCTTGTACCCAGTAGGAATCGGAGACACCACAGCAGCAACACTACGCTATAGTTAAAATGGATACAAAAAAACATAGTCACTCCAAATTACTTTTTTGAAATTCTTGAAGTGAAAAAGTAATTTGGAATGACTATGTTTTTTGCGTCGATTTTAATTGTAGCGTGGAGTTGCTGCTGTAGTACCTCCGATTCCTACCGTGGGCACGATGACTCCATCTGCGGTTGTGGGTCCCACTGTCATGACTTCATCTACCATGGTGGGTCCCGTTGTCGTGGTATCGCCTGTAGCATAAATGGTGATTCAGAATCAACTATCCCATCATATGTATTACTCAATTGCGAAAAAAAAAAAGATTGCAAACATGAACCATGGGATTTGTTGGACTCAAACTTTAGCTACCACGAGTTGTAGTTTAGCTCGATGCCACAGCTTAAGGGGGAAGGAGTTCAAAATTTTCTTGGCGATGAGGGTTAAGGCTAACAGTGCAACTAACTATTATAGCAGATCTAAAAACAAATGAGAATGTGGACGTGCATGACCTTTATCGCATAGGCCAGATTTGTGTACGTTTTGTGATAATCGAACGACTAAAATGGATAAAAGCGCTGAGTTCTGGATATATGAGTATGATAGACATGCTCCCAATGGTATGTCTAAGGGGAACTACTTCAACATAACAATCAAATTGACCAAGCAGATTGAGATTAGAATGCCCAGTAAATGCTATTTTTTTTTTAAATTAATTATCTATTTTTGATAATATCTTGCAACATACATATTTCGAGGAATGAGTGCCTCGAAGAGACGAATTTTGACCCATCCGCCTCACGAGTTGAGGAAAATATGATTGTAAAGATCACAGACGGACTCATTATCTCGCCATCTTACCTACAAGAGATCAAAGCTTGCGCGTGACCATTTTTTCCAAACTTCATCCTTACAGGCTTCCCCTCTCCACCTACGGGCGTGGCGGTCACACTTCTCAAGGAAGTGTATATCGGGGTAGATTTGAATGACAGAGTCATTCGGGGGATTCAAAACAATTTCACATTCTTAGATGGCATGCCCGCACTTCCGATTTTCCTAACATGATGTTTTTTAGTGATGCATTGACTTTAGAATCTTTTCATTATTGTTTGTTTATTCTAAGTATTAATTCTTTGTTTACATGATGCGTTTATCTATTCTAGGTATTAGCTCTTTGTTTACATGGCGCGTTCATGAACACGTTAGGGAGGGACTTCTTCTCGTTCGTTTTTTTTTTGGGTTCTGATTGTGATTGTCATACATGAGATTAAGAGAATGCATTCACCCATTTTTGGGTCACTGGTTCATGCCTTGGGTTTTATGGAAGCTTTCTCAATCGTTTTCCTAAACTTATGCGGAGTTATTTAGTTAAGTAAGACTACTTACAGTTTTTCAATTTGTCTCAGCTGTCAATAAAATCTGGAATCCTTCTTCTAAAGTTATTGTTACTTATCCTCGTACAATTTGAAGACAAGAACACATACAAAATTTTCATGGAAGAAAAAGAGGGAATTATGTCCTTTCAAAGCTATACAACATTTTTTATTATATTACATACTTCTTTTTTCTGTTAAAATATGTTGTTTCAAGGTACGTCAATTCATTTTGAAAGTATGTCAAATAATTGAAATAGAAAGCAACTCTACTTCAGCTGAAATGTCTACTGCATGTGCGTGACAGCTTAAAGAAAATCGGATATGAACGTAAGGTTATTATATAGTGTATGTTGATAATTATAAATCAAAATAATGCGTCACGATACAATTCCCAACATTCGTAACAAATGTTAGATTCAATTCACACCGAATGTATCATTGTTGTATCAGACGGACTCGTACATGTGCATGTGTTGATCAATATAATCGTGATGATGCACGTGATATCATCATTAGGATATATCTAGGATTGCTAAATCCAATTTGCAACCATCAATTTTGACAATAATAAATAGTTTTGAAGTCTGAACACAAATGTATCATGGTTCGGCTCAGTTTTTGGTTTCATCATGGAATTTTTCATACACTTTGGTGTGGCTCGTGAAAACTTGCACTGAATTGAACAAAATCGAAAACTAAACTTATAAAAATCAAATCAAAATCGAACTGAAATTTTTTACATTAAAGATCAAATCGAACCGCACCACATTGCACATTTTGATTCGATTTTCCAATGTTGGCTTGATTTGCATAGCTGGATGCATAACTCAAAATTTTATAAAAGTCAACTTGACTGAACAAATTATAGCTATATGCATGAAATAAACCATAAATTTTGACTGAAACACTACCCGACCTTTTCACTATATTTTTAATTGAAAACCTATGCCCCAAAAGGAATTATATGTATGAAGTCAACCATAAATTTTGACTAAACACTATCCCACCTTTTCATTTTTAATTAAAAAACAAAGTCTCAAAAGAAATTCGTACAGAAAAAAATGAGAAAAAATAAATTTGTCTTTGTGTCTCCCATTATCCAACACATTCTCTTCTCTCCAAATCTCAAACAAGACTTATATCTCCCAACTCAAACAAGCCTTAGTTTTTGAAAGACGAAAAACAAGCCACAAAATGTTGCACCAGATGATCACACGTGGGTTGAACGAAATGTGTGGCTTGTTGCACCAGATGATCACATTTGGGTTGAACAAAATGACAAATTTCGTTCATAAGCTTATCGTATCAGAATCTATTTCAAATTTGCATAGCTTCATTGTCAACACTGTAAGTATTGTGTATGTTATTATTATTATTATTATTATTATTATTATTATTATTAATTTTTATTATAAATTATTATTTGTTGCACTCCCTTTCTTCATCATTATTAGTTAATAATTATTATAGTTTTTTTTTTAATTTCTCATTGATTTGTTTTTATGATTTTTAAAAAATTAATGCTTTATAACTACTACTTGCGTGAGCACTAGGTAATAAGGAGCCGGAGTATTTTTGGTACTCAAGAATTTCAAAAAAGTAATTTGGATTATGTAAGCACTCAACTTATCCTTGGATTATGTATGCTGCCTGATGAGGATAATGTTCAGTTGAGAAAGTATGTCCCCAAGCACAAATGTCTTAGAAAATAGAGGGTTTCTCATGCAAACTATAGGTGGCTAGCTGATACATATACAGAGAAAATATGGATTGATCCCAAGTGGCCTGTGGAGTCCATGAGGAAGATAGTGTAAGGGGAACACAAGCTTCTTTTCAATAAAAGTCAACTCTATAGAGCTAAAAAAAAGTGTTGACTAGTAGATCTGGGGCTAATCTTGAACAATATGCATTGTTGTGGTCTTATGCTTGTGAAATTAGGTTGTCAAATCCTAATACCACAGTGAAGATAAAGTGTAGAAGGGTAGGTGATAAGACACTTTTTAAAAGATTGTACATTTGTTGGGGTGCACTTAGAGATGGTTTATTGGATGGATGTAGGCATGTTGTATTTTTTATGGTTGTCATTTGAAAACTTCAATGGGTGGGATCCTTTTAACTGCAGTTAGCATAGATCCAAACAATGGGATGTTCCCATTTGCTTGTGTTGTGGTAGAAAAGGAAAAGAAGAAGTCATGGGGTGGTTTTTACATTTTCTGATAGAAGACTTAAATATAAAAAATCCTTACCATTGGGCATTCATGTCTGACAAGCAAAAGGGTTTGATTGAAACTGTTGAAATCCTATTGCCTGGTACTGAACACAGATTTTGTGTTCAACACTTGTACCATAATTTCAAAGCCCATAAAGGGTTTGCATTAAAAAAGTTGTTGTGGAAAGCTGCTAGGGCGTCTAGAGTGCAAGATTTTAAGAGGGTGATGACTGAGATCAAAGAGAGAGATGAACCTGCATACCAGTGGTTGAATGCAAGACCTCCTGCACATTGGTCTAGGTCTCATTTTAGCACACATTCAAAGTGTGATGCACTTTTGAACAATCTCTTAGAGACTTTTAATGTTGTGATTGTGAAGGCAAGAGGTGAGTCCATTATAACCATGTTAGAACTGATCAGGACTTACTTAATGAAGAATATCCATCTGAAAAGAGACAAGATGACCAAATATCATGGAGAACTTTGTCCTAGGATAGTGAAGTTGCTTGATGAAATGAAGAAAACTAGTATGGAGTTCATTGCACATTGGAATGGTAAGGATTAATTGAAAAAGAGACCATGACTGGGAGAAGGTTTAAGGTTCACATTAGTGAGAAATCTTGCACTTTTAGGAAGTGGCAGTTATCAGGAATTTCATGCCCCCATGCAATAGCAGACATCTTTTATTTAGGAAAAAATATTGAGGATTTTGTTGATGACTGTTACAAAAAAGAGACATACTTAAGGGTCTACAGTCAGTTGATGGGAGCACTCAATGGACAAGATGAATGGCCAGAAGTGGATATTCCACCATTGCTACCACCTAGTATTGAAAATGGGAAAGATGAAAAAATGCCAGAAAGACCCAAGAAGTATCAGAGGAAGATGGGAAAGATGAGCTCAATGGAAAGCATGTTAGTGAGCAATCTAAAGAGAATGATGCAACACTTAATTAGGTGAGATTGAACAAGAAAGGTGTGACAATGAGATGTTCAATCTGCAAACAACCAAACCACAATTCAAGGGGTTGCCACAAAAATAAGAGGAATGATGTTCCTGCTCCAGTTCAAACAGAATCAACAACAAATAAGGTACTTAGATGAAAATTAATGTTGTACTTATTCAACCATGTAGTATATTTACTAATATCTTTTTATTTGCAGAGAAAGAGAAAGAGTCCTAGCAAATTCAACTTTGAAGGGAATGATTTGCAGAGCATACGAAAGAGTCCTAGACTAAAGGTAAAATTGATGTTCTTTCTTTTCTCAATATGTTGTTGTTATCAGCCTTTATCATTAAGTAACTATATAAATTTTGAATTTTTTTGTTGTTAATGTGTAGGAAAAAGCCAAAAGAGTTGAAGAAGTCTCAGAGAAAAGGCCACAAAGGCTATAAAATTTTCTTTTCATTCTTTTTAGGTTTTTGGTTAAACTGAAGTAGCTTAAACTAAATGTGACTTTTCATTATTTTTGGTATTTGGTTTTGTGCAGGAGAAAAACATCAAAGCTAGAGGATACTCACAAGAGATAACAAACCAGCAAAGGTATGGTATTTTCTTCACCAAAGGATCCTCACAAGCACCAACTGTGGCTTTTTATTCTTTTTTTTTTCTTTTTTCTTTTTTGGTTTTGTGCAGGAGAAAGACAATAAAGTTGAAGAATCCTCACAAGATCCAGGAAAAGTATGATATTTACTTTCAAGATTTGCCCTAAATAAACATGTATATGTTTAATTCAATATTGTTATTGTACATGTGTAGGGAAAAGGAAAAGAAATAGTCATTGCTGGAAATGAGGGTGTGAAAGCTAAGCTACCAGTGAAGAGGAGCTTGAGGCTACAAGGTCTTGTTGGTGAAAAGCCACAAGCTCTTACACAACCTGTAAGGCCGCCAGGAAGCAACAACATGCTTGATGGTGTAGCATGCTTGATGGTGTGAGATTTTCCACAAGAAAAAGGGTTGCATACTCTCAAGTTTAGAATATTTGTTGTTTAGAGTTTTGTTGGTCTGGAAAGTTTGCAATGCCATGTATTGACATTCTGAGCTGGTTATTTTGATTTGAACATATTGAGATTTTGTGTTGGTATGTCTATTTGGGAATATTCTGAGGTGGTCTTGTGGTGTTTGTATTGACAATTTAGGTGTTATGTTTTTTTGAACAAATTAAGACATTCTGATTGAACAAATACTGATTTTCATATCAATATGTTTGGAAGGGAAATGATATGCCCTTTGTTTGGAATGTGAAATGATATTGTTTTTCATTTCAATATGTTTGTCCATCTAGTTATTTGTTTGAAGTTGGAAGGGAAATGATATGCCCTATTATGTACACAGGTGCATAGCTTTGTTATTTTTGCATGAATACATTTGTAACATGTTTGTATCCATTTGGTTGTTCTAATAGAATAGTTATGTTATAGATAAGCATAAACCAAAACATTTTTTTTCATTCATTCATGAAAGTACAAATGACTAATGTTACAGATAATAGAAACATAAACTAAATGTCTTACAAAACATAATAAATGACTAAGTTTCAACCAACAATGAAAATGGAACTTAGCCAATAACAACAACCACCCTAACAAATCGAGATAATAGACACATAGACTAAATGTCTTACAAAATATAACAAATGAGTAAATTTCATTTCAACCAACAACTAAAAATGGGACTTAGCCAATAACAACCACCACCATAAGAAATCGAAACATAAACCGCCAAATGGTTATATCACCATTTTACAAAGAACATGATCAAGCAAGAAAGAACCATCATTCCCAAAAGCCACTTCTGCCTAGACTTCTTGTAGCCAACTCATCTTCAAGCCTATTAACACGTTTTAGAAACCCTATAATTATTTGTCGAGATCTCGGGCACATTGGAGGGTCAATCCACGAGAAATAATTGCATCCTCCAGTTGTCTGAATAATTATCAATCAATTAAACACATCAATCAAATAAGGTTGCTGATTAATTAAGGTGAAAAATTAGGATTTCAAATTAGGGGAAAATTTTAGGGTTGCAAATTAGGGGAAAATTTCAGGGTTGCAAATTAGGGTTGCATCCTCCAATGGTCTGATTATCAATCAATTAAACAAATCAATCAATTAGGGCTGCAGATTAAATAAGGAGAAAATTAGGGTTACAAATTGAAAATCAGGGTTGCAAATTAGGGCGGAAATTTAGGGTTACAAATTAACAAAATTAATCATCATTAGAAGTAATTGCACCTTCTAATGGTCTGAATAATTAGCATAGAACAACACACATTGCAAAATAGGGTAAATTTTTCAAACATAAAGCCTAAAATTACCCGAAATTTTTCAAAGGCAGCATACCTTCTTCCCGGATTATGGTCTGTCCACTAGGTCTTCATTACGACCCTTTCTCCATAACTGCAGAAGTCGCTGTTGCCGGTCACCTCGGAGGCCATGTTCGCCATTAATTTCTCTCTTCCTCTTCTCCAAACGAGACGGAAAATTTGGGGGAAAAGAGATTAGGTATTTCAAATTTGAATAAGAATAATGTGAGGAAGATTGTGCCCGTTGTATATCATGTGAAAAGATGACTATACCCTTGTTGTTGTATGAAATTAACAACTCAAAATCACAAACAACAAGATGTGTTTGAGCGAAGATAAATGTAAAATTGTGTTTTATTGATAAGTTCACAATGGTACAGGAAGTCGGTTTTTCGTTCTTGACCGAGATCATTTTAAGTCCGTGTACAATGTGCGAAAAAAGATCTCTGTAAAATCATAAATTCTGCTATTTATAGTACGGTCGTTTTTGTCTTTTTGTCCGAGGTAGATAAGATCGCATTTAATGTTGAGCAGCTTCAATAAAGCGGTGTGTAATAGATCAAGGGAACATCAATGATTGCCTCTTGTTTTGGTGGTCCAATCGAATGTGTACAACACCGTCTGCTTGGATATTTGATTCCCTCGGATGTCGGTTAAATGGAAAATTTTTAATACAACAAGTCACGATGTCGGTGAAGTCGGTCATCGGATCCTCTAAATAGTCGGTTCTACTTTTCGACCATCTTGGAAGTCGGTAATCAATTCAGCTGATACCAACTTGAGCTAAGTTCAGCTATTTCTAGAGGATCATTAATCGAATGAGGCAGTTAACCTTCAGCTCAATCTCACGAAACCAAGTCGGTCATCAACAACCCTTATTAAGGAAATCCGATGGCCGGAAGTGAGTAAGTGCACAAAAATGCAAAGTTCATACTGGCTAAGTGCTAAAAATAAAGTTTAGTGGGCAAAGTATAAAAAGGCGGATAGTTAGGTATGTAAAGTGTAATTTTTATAAATTCAGAATAAACTATTGAGCACAAAATAAAAAAAAATACAACTATTGAGTGTAAACACTCTTGTGTTTGTTAAAGGAATAATTTGAGTGAATTAACTCAAAGTGAATTTTTTTGAGTTAACTGGAGTTAATTTAGAAAAAGTGTAGTTAATTGTTAGTGGGATTTTGAGTATATAATATTGAAAATAAAGTTGGTTTGAGTTTATATGAGTAGATGAATAGTGAATTAAAGTTGATATGATGTGTAAAAATGATTGGTTATTATTATTTAATTATATTGATAGTATTGAGAATAATAGGGTTGAGTTAAAATTGACTGAAATTTTGATTAGAATTAATTTGGTGATGTATATTTTTTAACACACACACCCCTAACGGGGGTTTACCAGACTCCGATGACCTCCATTCGACACGGCTGAACCTGGGATTTACGGCTAATTGAGCGAAACTGGTTCTTACTGGGTACTGTTGATGTTTGTTGGATCTTAACAAAAACTTGGAGGTCGGGAGGATATCAACAACATCTGAAAATGGAGAATTTGTTCAGATCCAACTCCCTATCTCTTTCGGTACTTCTACTCTTCTTCTGCAATGCGATCTCGTCAAGTGCGTCCAGTTCTTCTTCCACAACCATGCACACGAACAATTGGGCGGTACTTGTCTGCACATCCCGCTTCTGGTAGCAGCCCTCTTTGCCCCAATTTTTTTTTTTTTTTTTCAATTGGCTTGTTTACTTTCTTGATTACTTTTGGAACCATTTGAGTCAATTTGGTGACCGGACTTTGGAATAACATGTCGGGCTGCAAAAAAATTTATGTACTCTTTTCTTTTTATCTCTCAAGTTCTGTGCTTTGAGGAAAGTAATCGGAACCCAGATAATGGATTCAGATCGTATATTGTAACTAGTCGTTAATTATGTTCAGGGGCTTGTTTTCATCAGCTTTGGGCATAACTGGATCAGTTAAAGATATCAATTTACATATGTTATATGTTTATATAAATAATTACTGTCGTTGCTATTTGGTGTGTGTATGTGTGTGATTTTGAGTGTGTTGTGTAATTTGTACGAAATTGTTAATGTTGGTGTAATGTGACTCCATCAATAAACCTTTCTGGTGGGATGGGATTCGATAAACTAAAATACAAATGCAATTAATAGCTCTTATGTGATTGGGATGTATTATTACTTACTTTCTTGCATCATAATCTGATTTCAATATGCTTAATTTGCCCTTCAGGTTTAATTATCGGCACATGGCTAATACTTTATCCTTGTACAGGTAAAAAAAACTGGGATATATTTGCTATTCCTATTTCTGTCTTTAATGTATTGTTGGCTGCTTAGAGAATGAAATGTTATTATGATTTCTTTCTTTCTTATGCTTTGTTTATAGAACGGTCAAGCGACTAGGGATACCTGATGAGAGAATTATTCTTATGTTGGCTGATGATATGGCTTGTAATTCTCGGAACAAGTATCCTGCACAGGTCTTCAACAATGAAAACCACCGTCTGAATTTGTATGGTGATAATGTTGAGGTGGGTTAAGTTTCTTAAGGACATGTTTTTTCAAATTTCTTTCAGAGTACCAGCTATGGTGTGGTGTGGTGGTTATCGCTTGTGCTGTTCAGACATGAAATATTATTGATATGAGTGATATTTCATAATAAGGTTGAAGCTACTAATTCCTATATAACTACGAACAAGAATATTGTCCAATTTACTGATAAAAGAGTATTCTCATTTACATTTGATTTAGCTGACTTTTCTCCTTTTCCATTCTTCTGAGTCTGCATTGGGGCCCTGCACAACCCTCATTATTGGTGAAAATCATTCAATATGCTGCTGTTGGATTTTAAAAGGGTGCAGTTTTGTTACTCAAACTAATGTATTCCCAGTACCATGAGAATTACTAATGTTATTGTTCTTTCATATTAGTGCTTGGGGAAATTTCCCATTGCCCTCACTATTTGCAAATTATCATTTTCATGTGAATCGACATACATCTTTGCTCAAACCATTTGGGGAAATTTCCCATTGCCCTGACTATTTGCTAATTATCATTTTCAAGTGAATCTACATACATCTTTGCTCAAACCATTTAATTTTAATTGTGCTTAGAGTCCACATAATTTATCTGCGTAACTGTGTAGGCCATGTAAGCACTTATTGTACTTGGGATTTCCAGTAATTCGTTCTCTTGTGCTCCAAATCCATTTCTGATTATGGCATGCCCCAAATTAGGTAGATTACCGAGGTTATGAAGTGACTGTTGAAAATTTTTTGCGAGTATTAACCGGCCGTCATGAATCAGCAGTCCCAAGGTCAAAACGACTTTTGAGTGATGAAGGCAGTCATATACTTCTTTACATGACTGGGCATGGAGGGGATGAGTTTCTCAAATTTCAGGACTCAGAGGAACTTCAGAGCCATGATTTAGCAGATGCTGTGAAACAAATGAAGGAAAAGCAAAGGTGTATGTTTCCCTTGGAATTATGAGTTTTTATCTTGTTTTATGCATATATTTTCTAAAAAATTTCTATACGGTCGTATAACATAAGAAATGTGTGTATAATTGATCTTTTTATGGATCTTGGAAGCTTCGAAGGGTTCTACCTTAATTGTGTGTCCTTGTTGTGGTGTCTGATTGTGTGTCTCCTCAAATACATTGCCTTCTAGCTCCACAAGGAATCTCATATTTACTTACTAAGTCAGTTTTTGCCTGTTGGTTACTGTGAATTAGATAATGATCGTATTTTCCAATTACCAGATTTAAGGAGCTGTTAATAATGGTAGATACTTGCCAGGCTGCCACTTTGTTTTCTCAGGTGAATTATATTGTTTTTCTTTTCACAAGATAAAGCATTTTGTAGGTATTTAGATCTTTGATGATTGTCCCATGAATTGCTTCATCTCTCTCTCTCTCTCTCTCTCTCACACACACACACACTCACACACACACACGTGTCAGGTTTGGGAGTGCTTGTGTGTTTCTGTGGCATAAAGTATACGCAAGAACCAGTAACTTTACTGATGCTTGAAACCAAGGCAAACACCATATTGCTCTTTTGATGTCTATTCTTGCTTCAAAATCTGGTACCTATTCAGCATTTGGTGTGGTTGGCAATGATATTTTCAACAAAAATGGTGTTTTGTTGAGGCCCTTTTCTTTTCAAGAAGTCGAGTTTACATAGTTTTGTTCTAAAATGAAAAAGGGAAGAGGGAAAAAATAACATTGCAGTTCTTGTTCATGGAATCATTCGGTTAACAAAATAGTTTTATTTTTCAAATGGATTTCAGCTAGTTTTACATTTAACATAATGTCACTGAGGTTCTTGTTCCAGAAAAATAAACGATGAAGGAAACAACAGTGTGATGTAAAAAATATGTGACCTTGTCTTAAAGTACACAAGGTACACTGGTAGAAAGTGGACTAATAATGCATAGAATGAAGAGAATAATCGAAACTGTTGGACTACACGTGGGTTCTAGGAATCTTGTAATTGATATAATACAATTTACATTAATTACATTAACAGAAAGTAAAGGCAAATGAGCAAATTATCTTTCCCTTTTCTTTTAAGCAAATGCGATGCACTTTTTTTTATGCTTTCCTGATTCAGCATAAATGTTGCAACCCTATGTTTGCATGAGATGTGCTTATAAAATTTGCCTGAGTGATAATTAGTCGTAGTAGGGCTATAAGGACTAATGAGATTTTTTTTTTATTTTTTGTCTTTTTAGCTTCAATCACCTGGTGTTTTAGCTATTGGAAGTAGCAAGAAAGGAGAGAATTCGTACTCTCATCACTTGGACTCTGATGTAAGTTGCCATATTTTTTTACAGGCTATTATATCTCTAGGACATGGGATCGGTGCCGTAAGTCCATTCCCAAGTGAACTAATCTTTTGGTTTTGTATCTTTTCCTCTGTTGTTTTATTGAAGGTTGGTGTATCTGTCGTAGATCGGTTCACATTTTACACTCTTTCCTTCTTCGAGAGGTTAAATATGTATGACAATGCCTCACTGAGCAGGTATGTGATACCAACATTTGACGTAAAACCTACCATGTTTATATTTATCAAGACCTGTCAATATACTTTTTGGTCCATGAACTTTAAGATGCATTTGCTAGATTATTATATAACCAGGGGATTTGAAGATCTAAGGTGTACTAGTTCGTTGATCAATCTGGACTTATTAATTAAAACTGCTATAGTAATCATGAATAGATATTTGTTCCATGATATGAAGTATTCCAGCGAGATTTCGTCATACTATCAACATAGCTTTGATGGATGCATTCGGTTTTTATTCATTTCAATCATATGCCTTGACCTTCTTGACAAGACAGAAGACTTATAATTCCAATTTTGTTTCTTTCTGGCAAATTATGGGACGAACGTTCTTGTCTTTGATGCTCTCTTTTTAACTTACTCTGTAGAAATATCCAGAGAAGAATATTCATGGTTNACCAAAAAAAAAAAAAAAAAAATAGTTTCTTAAGATCCTGATTAGGGGGCGTGGAACTTGGTTTAACTTTTCGTTTCTTTTGCAGTCTTTTCAATTCCTTTAATCCGAATCTGTTGTTGTCGACTGCATACTATCGAACTGATTTATACCAACGAAGATTGGAAGAGGTACATAGAATTTGTATGTTTGTTCTTATTCCCTTGGCTCTATTATGATCAAGTGTAATGCGAGTTTGTGGACTCTTTTCATTTATTCATTCTTTTTATTTTTATTTTTTTGATCATATAAGTGGTGTCATGATTTGCTTTCAATGCCCCTTTTTGACTTCCAAATGATATGTCACAAATGACTTATTTCTACGGAACTGTCAGAAATTTTTTAATTGCCTAGACTAGAGTGCTTATGTCTGACTTGTGTTTCGAATGCCTTTTTTAGGGTGTCAAGTTTCTTATTTGCCTTTCCTCGCTGTATGTAGGTACCCGTGACCAATTTCTTTGGTTCTGTAATGGAGACTATCCATACTGATTCGCCTTATCGAGCTTTCTCAGGCAGATACTCCAATAAACCTAAAATTAAGATGCCTTTGGATCAACCAGCCAGGGAACGCCAAGAAAAACGAGAAGCTTCATATGTTGCACAAGAATTAGCTATTCCTGAAATACATGTAAGCTATAGTTTTATTTTTTTACAGCCTATGCTTTCTTCAAAGTGAAAAATGGTGAGGATAGGGATTTCATGGTGCAGGCCAAACAAGTTGGTTGTCCTTTTACGCGCACTTGGAATACTATTCTTGACCAGATGGGAAATAGTTTGTTGAACTATGGTTTGATATTGATGTTCCCGGTTGTGGCATTATCTTCGTGGCTTTCCAGATGAAATTCCCTTACATTTTAACTCTCTTAACACGTCTGCTACTTTCCATGCTTTTGTGTTTCATAGTGCTTTATGCTGAAACTTAGTCTGGGTTCCAGATGAAGGCTTTTTTTTTTTTAATAGTACTAATCCTATTAAGTAATACAAGAGAAATATTTAGTATTATCGGTTTCTATACTAAAGTATTATACTTATCATGTGCAATTATTGGTGCTATCTGCTGTATATCATGCATATTGGTCCATTTCCTTCAAAACCGAAAGGGCAATAAGTTGTACAAGACTAACATCATCCTCATTCTACAACATATGACATTTCCTTGTCATGCCCCATATTGATATCGTGTAACTGAAGTTGTTCAAGGGTTTGTCGGGAAATACAAGCATCTTATGTTTATTTGATTTTCCACTTGTACCCTTGATGAATTGTTGTGTGAATGCAGAAGAGGCAATAACAAGCTGCTTGCTCTTGCTGTCGGAATTAAACAACAAGCAATACGTGAAGCTTGAGTGGTCGTTGTAATCAAGAGTTTCTGGGTTTGATACGTGTATTGTCAAAATACTACTCTAAAATGAATTACATCCTTTCTTTGCCATGTTTGTTCAATCTGTATTTTCTTGCATAACACTAATGGTCTGTCACAAACGATAGTTACCTTAGGCACATAGTGTTGTACTCATACTCTGATCAAATAGCAGTTGAGGTTTTGGTTTTGGTTCTTGCTTGTATCTCTATATTTCCTTTTACAAATTTCTTTTGCTGCGAATCTTTAGCTAGTTGATATCTATGATTGTTTCTAAGTTGGGTGCTCCCCGTGGTTTGATGAGTAATGTTAGAAGCTTGTTCAGTACTCATGTTAGTCTGTTACAGACACTTAGTGTCTTGGATGGTTTGTTATTTGATTAAATTATTCACCAGAACTTGCAGTTTTCGTCTTCAAATGTCGATGTGAATTCATTATGAACTTATTTTGCATAATGGCATGTTTACAGTATTTTTTAGCACAAATTATGCTAAGCAGACAAATTTTATTATAAATTCATCAACTTTAGATGATAATTGAGTTTTAATTCAGCTTTCCATAGATCCATTTCATGCAAACCAGTCGAAAAGGGCCATCCTTTTTTTTATACAATCGCAGGAAAAAAGAACACTACAACTACAGTTTCACAAGCCAAAATTCAAAACAAACAGGCGCGTGGATTGAGAGTTTTTGGAGCTTTTAATGACATTTTCATGGGATGATATTTAAACTAGTATTCGACCTGTGCATTTGCACAGATATAAATAAATTATTGTGAGTCTGTATGCATATATTGATTAATTATTTTCTTTCACTTTTTTGCTGACCAAATTTACAATTAAAAGAGTTGGAATATTTTTTTTTTAAATTGCGTTTATCTGATTGGATGTAATGTATATTTTGGTACGTCTTTTATTTGTGAATTATTTATTCTTTATTTAGGAATTTCAAATATATTTTTTATTTTCAAAAAAAAAAATTAAATGTAACAACAATAATAACATCTAATCACATTATACGGTCAACACATTATATGGTCAACTGTCATTAATCAAAAGTTTAAAGTGATTTTTGTAATTTTGAAGTGATGAGTATTAATTATTTAATGATTAAATGAAAGATTAAATACATCAAAATGTATTTTTTGAGGGAAAATTATTAAATTGCCACATAGGTAAAATTAAATAGGTTTTATTTAATGCTATTAGCTAGTAATTATATATATATATATTGATAGCATAAACTCACAATAACTTTTTCTAAATTATGTAAGGTTGCAATTACCTTTCAAATAACATATATATACAAATATAAATATAATATACTCTCTCATATTCTTTTTAAATGTCAGTTTTGTGTTTTGACGCATAAATTAAGATTTTTTTTTCTTGTCAATATTACCCTTATTTAAAGCAAATTAACATTAATTAATTTCTTTCTTTTCAGCATTTTTATGTTCTTTTATGAGAGAAAACTCATTGTATTACAACTTTTCTCCCAAAACGTGTAGTGTATAAATTAGGCAACAATGAAAAAATATGTATAAAAAATCCAAAACGCTATTTATTTAATTAATCACCAATAAAATCAAAATGACAAATAAAAAAAAATAAAGGGTATTTATTTATGTGTAAATTAGCCGGAACAAATCCCACCAAATGGTCTCATATTTTGCAAAGCCCGTAAATAAAAGCGTATGGTCCATTTAAAAATATTGGGCTGAATTTGTGATTAATTTGTGGGCCACCAAACCAGCCCAATTCTCTAAAAATTACGATCAATGGTCCACAATAAGTTAACAAATTTGGACTGCTCAAATTGACGGAGACCACGTATAAAACACGATTTTTGTTGCTAGGTTTCACTTGGCCTCAGACACGTGTGCATAGGGGTGAGCAAAACCGAGTCGAAACCGAAAAACCAAATCGAACCGGTGCATTCGGTGCGGTTCAGTGCGGTTTTTAAAGATTTCGGTTACGGTTCGGTTTCACTAACAGAAAAACCGAAAAAATTCGGTGCGGTTTGGTTTTCTGTCCGAAAGGTGTGGTTTTAACCGAACCGCACCGAATAGCTTAAACCTTAAAGTGTCATTTTATTCTAGGTTAATATATACAACTACACCACACCTGAGCACGTTTTCTATATATTTTACATTAAAATTGAAAAATGTTTGCCCTAATTTTTCAGAATTCAGACTCGTCCCTCAGCCTGATTCACACCTTTCACTCTCGTCTCGTCTCTCGCCCGCCCACCGCCGACTGCTCTTTGCCTCTCCAGTCACCGGCATTCAGCGCTAGCTCGTTCCACCGGCCTCTGACTCTCTCTCTCTCAGTCTATCCTTTACCCCTTACTGCATCTCGATTTATTTTTCTTGTTTTATCGTTTCACATAGATTCTTTTTTTATTTGTGTTTTTGGTTTCTGAGATATGCAAATAAATATTGATGAATTGGTGAGCAGTTTATCCACGATTTTCTTGTAGTTCTTGAGATTTTATATGCACTTGTTCTCAGATCTGTGTTAAAAGGGCAAGCATAAGAGGTGGTATTAGAAAGACCTTTATTAATTGTTCATGTTCAAGCGATCTTCTCTGAATATTTTTTCAAGTTCTATTTTACTGCATAGTCATTAAGGGAAGCTTCTAGAGGAAACTCTGCAATGTAGCACAATGTTTGTATGAATTTGATATTGAAGCCCTTCTACTGACTAGAGTGATTCAGGTGTTCCCGATTTGTATACATTTACTTATTATTTATTCTTTTTTTTTTACCCCAATTTTGGTATTTTTTTCTGTTTTATTTGCGGTTAACTGCACCGAAACCGCACCAAACCGAAAATTTCGGTGCAGTTTTGGTTCGGTTTTTTCTATAAATTCGGTGCGGTTCGGTGAAGAAAATTTAACATTTTCGGTTTTCGGTTTTTGCGGTTCGGTGCGGTTTTTCACCGAACCGCACCGATGCTCACCCCTACGTCTGCACGATGCACTACTTTTTCATTACCTTATCTTCGACATTTTCGATCTTGCTAATTTTTCGATCCTTGCACGTACTTATCTTTTTGGCTTGTAATTTATTGTGCAATGCTATGATGCATAGAGAATGGGCCGAGACATAATGGCAGCTCCAGGAAGAGCGAGATACCTTTCAATTTGTAGCAGCTGCCGAGTCCAGGGTGCGGTTGCTTATATCTGATATTTTTTGTGCCCTATTCTAGGTTGTTTAGGTATTTTTAATTGATTGAGTGGTGTTAATGTTTTACGCAGGCTCGTTGCTTTGATTTGGAGAAGATTATGGAATATTCAAGAACTAGTTCTTCAGCCATTTTTATACTGACTCCATCTCCTACTGCTGTAAAGAAACTGAAACAAAAAAGAAAAAAAAAGAACTAGAATTTGAGAGGGAAAAAAAAAGTTAAGCAATTTCAAAACACCAGATATGATGGCTGAGATATAGGTAGAAGTGATTATCTGGATTGTGTTGCAAGTTCAAGCTTTTCTTTCCTCTCATATTCTAGTCTTTTTTTTTNTAGTTATTTATTATTTTATTTTTCTTTTCTGTATCCCGTAGGACTGCCATCCTTCTTCTGATTGGTGCAGGAGTTTTGTTTTGGTTCTATGGCTTTATGCACGATTCAGTTCACCCTCTACGTCATGGTAGTCTTAGTAATGCTTATTTATATTTATCCAGGAGGAAATGAAGGCACAGCTAGCAAAGATCATATTTGTGATAGTTCAATTATGGTCTCAAGATTTGAATTTTGTTTCTCTTTCAGTACAAGAGCATAGCACAAATAAATGAAGACGCACTCAAACAAATGGAAACTGCCCGAGAGTTATAGAATGGAAGTACTTTCATGGAATTTTTCTTAAATTTATTACATCATTTGCTTGTGTATTTTACATCTCTTTTGCATTATAGGCCGATGAAGTTAAGAAATCACTGGAAAGTAAACGTGGCCACGGGCCAGCTGGCCGCCAGCCAGCCTGGTCAAACCCGTTGACCGCGGGTCTGGGCCCAACCGGATTTCAACCGGGCTGATCCAGGGCCTTGGTTTTGTCGACCCGGCCCAGCTCGGGTTTTGGCCATGTGTACTGGAAAGTGGGATTCACTCACACTTAGAGTGCGTGTGAGTGAACTTGAGAGTTTAAACTGAAAATTGAAGAAGCAATTTCTTATTGCTGGAAAGGGAGATGATGTTGCTGGTGCTTTGTTGGAGATTGTTAGTCTGAATGATTGTTAAAATGTTAGCTTTCTTCTTATTATAAAATTTCTCTTTATTGAATTGGTAAAATTTCTCTTTATTGAATAATCTGATGATATCTAGAGTTGGGATTTAGGCGAAGTCAGTTTCAATGGTGTCATTTTCGGCTTCTGTTATAGAGTGCACGTGCGTGGTTTTCACTAATTAAGTTTAGTAAAATTAATTAATTAATTATAAAATTTCTCTTTATTGAAACTGTTAAATTTTTATGAATTAAATTTAATAGACAAGGTCAAGACATTAATTTAGGTTGAATAATATGATGATACGTGGAGTTGGGATTTAGGCTAAGTCGGAGAATTGGTTGAATGTGATGATAGGATTTAGAATATCAATGGTGTCACTTTCTGCTTCTCGTAATACTAGTAAAGGGCACGTGCGATGCACATGTGGTGAATATTTTTTTACTGATTATGTTTAGTAAAATTAATTAATTAATTTGTTAATCATATTATTGAAGGAACGAAATAAAATGTTGAACAAACGAGCTCCTAATGTATTTTTTTTTTTTTAAAATAACATAATGATGTCATAATATATTAGAACCGCAATAAAAATATTATGAAAAATGTGTTCCTAATGAAAAAAAACACTAAATAACTTCATAAGGACTTAATGTACACTATAGATCATAGATACATTAGTTTGTGAGATGATTCAAGATTGATTTTCTTTCATAATTTTGATGTTCTCATAAGAAACATTCATACTCGTTGGTTAAACATATAGTCAAAGTTCTTAAGTTCTTATGTGATCTTTATTTAAAAAGAAAGACCGCAAACATGAACCATGAGATTTGTTGGACTCAAAATTTAACTACCACGGCTTGTGGTTTAGCTCGGTGCCACAGCTTAAGGGGAAGGTATGAAGGCATTTAGGCCAAGACTAGTGCAACTATTATAGCAGATCTAAAAGCGAATACTTTTATCGCATATGACCGAATTTGTGTATGTTTTGTGAGTTGATCGAACGACTAAGATGGATTAAAGTGTTGAGTTTTGGATATACGAGTATGATAGACATGCTCCCAAGGGCATGTCTAAGAAAGACTATTTCAACAAAACAATCAAATCAAATTGAATAAGTAGATTGAGATCGGAATGCACAATATATTTATTTTTTAATTAAGCATTTTATTAATTATATATTTTTGTATAATAGTTGCAGCCGACTAATTTTGAGGAATGAGTGTCTCGAAGAAATGTATTTTGACCCATCCGCATCAAGAGTCGAGGAGAGGAGAATGTGATTGTAAAGATCAAAGACAGACTTATTATCTCGTCCTCTTACCTATAAGAGATCAAAGCTTGCACATGACCGTCTTCTCCAAATTCCATCCCGACAGGCTTCCCTCTCCACCTACGGGCATGGCGGTCGCACTTCTCAAAGAAGTGTATATCACGGTAGATGTGAATGACGGAGTCATTCGGGAGATTCGACAAAAGTTCACATTCTTTGGCATGCCCGCACTTTCGAGTTTCCTACTTTGAGGTTTTTCGTGATGCTTGTACTTTAGAATCTTTTCATGATTGTTTATCTATTTTAGGTATTATCTCTTTGTTTACATGACGGCGTTTATCTATTTTAGGAATTAACTTTTTGTTTAAATGATTCGTTCTCAGGGAGTGGCTTCCTCTCGTTCGTTCTTTATGGTTCTGATCATGATTGTCATACATGAGCTTAAGAGAAAGTTTCAATAAGCGATTGAAAGTCACACTCACAATCCAAAAAGAACGAACGAGAAGAAGCCACTCTCCGAGTTTTTCTTCATGTGAACAAAGAGCTAATACCTAGAATAGATAAATGTGGCTTATAAACAAAGAGCTAGTACCTAGAATAGATAAATAATCATGAAAATATTCTAAAGTAAGCATCACTAAAAAACCTCAGGGTAGGAAACTCGGTAGTGTGAGTATGCCATCAACGAACGTGAATTTGTGTCGAATCCCCCGAATGACTTCGTCATTCACATCTACCCCGATATACACTTCCTTGAGAAGTGCGACCACCATGCCTGTAAGTGGAGAAGGGAAGTCTGTCTGATGGAGTTTGGAGGAGACGCACAAACTTTGATCTCTTGTAGGTAAAAGGGTGAGAAAATGAGTCGATGATCTTTAAAGTCACATTCTCCTCAACTCTTGAGGCGGATGGGTCAAAATCCGTCTCTTCGACTCACTAAATCCTCGGATTCAGTAGGTTGAAAATTATTATACAAAAATAGATAACTAATACAATGATTGCTTTGTTGAAAAAAAATACAATGATTAAATTAAAAAAAAAAAAGATAGCACTTACCGGGTGTTCCAATTTCAATTTGATTGCTTTGTTGAAATATTCTCCCTTAGACATACCTTTGAGATCATATTTATCATACTCGTGTATCCAGAATTCAACGCTTTTTTCTATCTCAGTGGTCCGATCAACTATTGGGTCACAAAACGTACACAAATCTAGCCTGGTAAAGGTCATCTACGTCCACATTGTCGTTTGATTTTAGATCCGCTATAATGGTGGCCCCGTCGCAAGGAAATTTTTGAACGCCTACCCCCCTGGCACCGAGCTAAACCACAACCAGTGGTAGTTAAAGTTTGAGTTCAACAAATCCCATGGTTCCTGTTTGCCAGTGATACATTCGGTGTGAATTGAACCTACCGTTACGAATGCTGGGAATTGTATTTTGACGCATTATTTTGATGTACAATTATCAACCTTCACTATATAATTACCTTACGTTCATGTCAGATTTTCTCTAATCTTTCAAGCACATTCAGTAGACTTTTCAGCTAAAGTGGAGTTTCTTTCTATTTCAATTATTTGACATACTTTCAAAATGAAATGGTGCGTACCTTGAAACAATATATTTTAGCAGAAAAAAAGAAGTATGAAATATATTGAAAAATGTTGCATAGCTTTCAAAGGATAGTTCGCAGCCCTATAGGGTTTGTTTTCTTCCATGACACTTTTGTATGTGTTCTTGTCTTCAAATTGTAGGAGGATAAGTGACAATAACTTCAGAGGAAGGATTCCTTCCTTCCTGATTTAATTGGCAGCTGGAGACAAATTGAAAAACCATAAGTAGCCTTATCTTAGCTAAACAATTCAGCATGTGTTTAGGTAAGTGATTGAGAAAGCTTCCAAATAAATGCTCAAGCAAGCATGATAAGCAATATTGAAATGGTTAAATTTTGATATTGTCACAGGCACATTCAAGGTTGCTCTCTTAAGAGGCCGAATCCCGTCTTCTATATCTTCCCTCTCATGCTTATTTGACTTGTGCGTGTAATATATTGAAGGTTAGTATTCTGTTGTAGATCGGTTCACATTTTACACTCTTGCCTTCTTCAAGAGGTTAAATATGTATGACAATGCCTCACTGAGTAGGTATGTGGTACCAACATTTGATGTAAAACATACCATGTTTATATTTATCAAGAGCTGTCCAAAATTTAATATGATTAAAATATATAGGGATTTGAAGATCTGAGGTATTAGCTCATTGATCAATCTGGACTTATTGATTAAAACTGCTATAGCAATCATGAATAGATATTTGTTCCATGATATGAAGTATTCCAGCGAGATTTCTTCATACTTTCAACATAGCTTTCATGGAAGCAATCGATTTTTATTCATTTCAATTATATGCCTTGACCTTCTTCACAAGACAGTACAGACTTATAATTCCAATTTTGTTTCTTTCTGGCAAATTTTGGGACGAACATTCTTGTCTTTAATGCTCTCTTTTTAACTTACTCTGTAGAAATATCCATAGAAGAATATTCATGCTTAATAC